GTATGTTGGGCTCAATAGAAGAAATTTGAAACTGCAGCACATTGGGCCAATTAAGAATACAGAAAGAAAGACAAAATATGATTGATTAATTTTTAAAAAGTTTTTTTTCATATTATGATACCATTTGGGACTAGTGCAGGATGACTTGTGCCTGTATTTTTTGTATTAATTACCCTTCCCGGTAATTAATTTTCTCCAAAAATTTGACAACCAACAACTTAAACTGATGGCCATATGAATAAAGAATAGCTTCTTTTTTTTGCTTTTTTAGCTTTTAACCTTTTGCACTTTATTCAGGCCGGAAACTGCAAGGAATTCACTTTGCCATGAGTTTCCTGGAGAAATGGCAGAAGAAGCAGCATGGAAACACTACCATCAGTCCCATCATGGCCAAGGACAAGGATGTGCTGGTCATTGGAGGTGGAGACACAGGCGTGGACTGTATTGGCACTGCTCTTAGACAGGTCACTTGCCACTTATACTCCTCAAACAAGATATTTAACATAAGTGACAATCAGGTATATAGGGCGTATTCACGTGACCCTCCCTGTAGCAACTTAAATGCCACCCTAGCAAGGAGCAGACTGTCGTCATGTTGTGGTACACTTGAACGCCGTCCTATAGCAGAGCCCTATGTGTGCTCTGTAAAATTGACAAATATATGCTTCATAATCAATGTTTCCCTTGTGGTTGAATGTTGGCCTGGGACCGGTAAAGTGCATATAGATCAGATAACTTCATAATTTAGTAATGTTAATGTTTTGTGTTTCTTGTACACCAGTACTGAGAAGCATGTGAAGGGAGTAAGAAATCTGTACCTTCAGTGTGGATTTCTGTCATGACTAGACATCAACGACGACTCCTGCTAAATGAAGTTACGTGAGCCAATGTGTGTGTGTGTGTGTGTGGCAAACATTTCATATTTTTACATGTAAAGCAAACGATGGGTATCCACTCAGAAATGGTACTGGACTGACTTCGTAGCCATGTAGGCATAGGAAGAAGAAGCAAGGAACAGACAGAAAAGGTCAGCCGTGAAAAGGACATAATGAGCACCTGTAACTTGTAACTACTTGTAAGTTCCTGTGTGAAGTCGTTTACTGATCCAAATACTGATCCAAATACATCAAAATCAATGGGCTCTCTTGACAAATTGTTACCAAGTTGGAATGTACCACAACATGACGGCGCATGGAAAGCAGGGGTGATGACATTTTGTGAATACACTCTATACTAGGCCCATTAAAAAAAAAGTGAAAGTGATCTCAAAACTAGTTTAGCTCATTCAAGAGCTAATCTTCCACTGGTCGTGGCAGAGAAGACAGACACCATGTACAGTATTTACAGGTTCATTGTACCGGCCTGGGGGAAATTCCCCTAGCTCTTTTCGACTAGCGCAATGAACCACGGCTTAACGTCCCTTCCTAAGGATGCGACCCTAAACAATAGCATGCATGTTGAGTGAGCGACAGCAGCTGGGATTCAAACTCCCAACCTCTTAGTCCAGAAGAAGGATCGCTAACCACTGGACTATGCACGCAACGCAAAAATGTTTAATATCATTATGATTGTTCTTACATTGATGATGGTTAGACCTCCAGGTCATTCAACCCCTACTACTGGATAACTTACGGAGATTTTTTCTTGACATTTCAAGTGACATTTAGAAGTCCTTAATATGTTCATCCAGTTTTTCCAGTTCCTTTCCATGAGCAAGTGTTAACTAGTTCTGTCAGTTCATTTTAGTGATGCTGAAGACGAGTGATGGGTGTCGCTTGAAACGTCCATAAATAATCTCCGTAAATTATCCAGTTACTGTAGTAGAGTTTGAATTGTAATGTAAGATTTTCACTAGGGTTACACTGTTATTTGACACACTTTAAGCCTACATGTACCTGGGTTCAGTGACATTTAGGGAGTAAAATATCAACATCGTTGCACCACAGAAACATGTTGGAAACTGCCAACTCCTCTGCACTAGCAGGGATTGCAGCCATGTTGTTTGTTTACATTCTTTTTTAGGAGCCTGGTGCAACTTATTGTCGCGCTGTGCTGAGTCCCTGGCCCCTGAAATGTACTGAAAATGACAATCTAGATGAGGAAATTTCAATTATTTATATTTTCAGTTTTGGCGTAAAAAATCTTGCATAATATCGCTAAAATCTTGGATCTTGTGTACAATGTCATAATTATACATAATATTATCCAGGGTGCCAAGACTGTGACAACATTTGAGATCCTCCCTGAGCCACCGAAGGAGCGGGCAGCCAGCAACCCATGGCCACTGTGGCCCCGCGTGTTCCGCGTGGACTACGGTCACGAGGAGGTTAGACTGAAGTATGGAAAGGACCCTCGGCACTTTGAGATACTCAGTAAGGTGAGTGAGGAGTGCAACAATGTCCTTGTCAATGAACTGAAATACACAGAAGATCATGAAGATATTGTTACAAGATGAATACACGCGTCTGCAGTGATGAATAGCTTTAGCTCAACTCACTTTATTTTAAAACCATTGGAACGGGATTGGCTATTTGAACGACGAACAGTGCATGGGACCCATCCGTTAGATACGATTGTTCTACCATGATCTTAAGTTCTTATATTTAAATTTACGACCGTCCGTTACATTACTACCCCCTTCAACTGGCATTTGCCCTTAAATGCATTTTTGTACATGTTATATAATGTGTGTTCTATTTTAAATGCGGGCTGCTATCAACTTAATTTCGCTGAGTTAATAGGAACATGTGTACATAAGTTGGTGGTAACTTATTTACTACAGACAGACCGCTGCTATACAGTGTTATTCAAAGCACAATCATATACGAATAACAAACATTTACTTAACTTCACCAAATATGCACCCTTCATACTTGCTCAGCGGCCAAGTAAAACATATTCAACACGTACTCCCATGCATGTCAGGGTCTTCCGGACAGTCACACAGCTACAGTGTGACCGGGAACAATCATGCTTCGCTACTTACATAACAGTCAAGTACAAGCATAATCCATGATCTTCCTAGCAGAGACGTCCCGTAGGCTAATAATTCTACTAGGCAAGCATCATTTGCAATTCACAAAAATACATAGATCCAGTACGGTTTGGTCGTTACCCGAATCATACAGTTTCAACTGTGAACTAGTAGAAGATAATGCTATAATGCTTGATTTACACTGCCACAAGATTTAGGTAGTGTTGCAAAATGTAAATTAATTTACAGTATTGTACGTGTCCTTACTTTGTTATCATAATGTATGCGAGGGATGGAAGCTTTCACAGATGGTCATTGGTTCATCCCACAGGAGTTCCTGGATGATGGTGAGGGTAATGTGGCAGGTGTGCGTACTGTCAAGGTGCAATGGGTTCGTGACGAGGCTGGCAGGTGGCAGATGAAAGACGTGCCTGACAGTGAAAAGGTCTTCAAAGCCGACCTCATCCTGCTGGCTATGGGTTTTCTGGGGCCTGAGAACACCATTGCTGATGAGCTGGGGGTGGACCTGGTAATTAAATTATAATTATATGTACTTGTTTTAGGTACTCTTTCAATGTGATTTCGTAGTAAACGTCAAACCTTTTCTTGTGCCAGGTTTACCAATCTGTAGCATTTCCTCGTAAATTGTGCAAATGATGTACTGATTGAGTAAGATTGGTTTAATGAATGTTCACTGACTTCAAAATACCTATGAAATTCCTGGCAGTTATATGTGACATTCTATGGTTCAAACAAACAAACAAACAAACAAACAAACAAACACACATACATACACAGATGGTATGTTATGTTATGTTATGATATGTTATGTTATGTTACAAGTTAACATAGCATTTTTACATACATACAAATGCTACCATAAATAAAACCTTATGGCAATGGTGATAAAACGAAGAAAGTTCTACTTTTTCCAGTGATTGTAGCATGTACATATACATGATGTATGCTTTACATGCTGAAGGCTGTATCTTTATCCAGGTTTTTTTATTATCTGTTTCAGGACCCACGCTCAAACTTTGACACCTCTAGTGCTCCATACAAGTGCAACATTCCCAAGCTGTATGCTGCTGGAGGTACGGCATTTCACAGCTTATTTATTATACCGTAAATGTGCAGACTAGCTCAATTCACACATTGAATTACACTATGTTGGAACTGGAGATTTTGGGACTAGCGATATGAGACTGAGAGACCTTTTTTCCCACATATAGAAATGTCATGGTGGTGGGAAGATTTTTTCCTGACAGCGCAAAAATATCCCCAAATTCCTCCAAAGATTAGTTGAATAAGATCTCAGAGAGGAAACATTTGTGAGCTAAGTCAACTAATTTGTTGTACACTAATCTCTTAAAAAACCAGTCACTTATCTTATTTTTTTTTTGTAAATTTTTTATTCATATTCACACAAACAATAGACATAAACATAACGTCTCCCTAAAATCTAATACATAAAGTAAAATTAATACATAGAAATACACTATACACAGAAAGTACCCCACTTACCCCGATGCCTCTCCAGCTTCCCTCTCCGAGACGCAATCAAGTATTCTGTTTTTTTATAAAAAATTACAAGTTTTTTAAAGGAATCGAAATTCAAAATTTTGGATGTCCTGCACTGAAATATGAAGAGTTTACCCAATAAAATGATCAAATTTATTAACGGTTTTGCTTCACTTATCTTATTACAAGTGTAGTGGTGTGAAGAACAATCAGTTATTGTGTGGTCGATTGGCGTAATGGCAAAGTGATCGGCTGAGAACCAAAAGGCCCTGGGTCCGATTCCTGCCAGTCACCAATGTTGTACCCCAAGGGAAAGGCACTTTCCTTGCATCACTTACATGTAGATGGAAATTTACACCTAGTACACATGTCATGTAGCTTTGGTTGAACTGTTTGGGATAGCCCGCAGATAGGAATCGTTAAATGGCTAGGGAGAGCCACTGCTCCTTACAGTCTTATGGCCACACCTGGGGTCGTATTGAGGTCACCAGAATAAGCGTTGAAGGGCAGCCGCACAAATTGTAAGCTGATGACTCTGACCTGTACTGTGTAATCAAGACAGGCGACGACAGCAGAGCGGCAACAGAAAGTCTGCAGTATGAGTAACTGGGCAGTCAAATGGAAAGTGACACAGTGTACAAGGCCCAGGTACGAAGCCTCATGGAATATGCATCATTATGCAGGATGGGGGCTTCTGTCATGTCGCTAAAACTCCTTGATTCCATCCAGAAAAAAGTACATTGTATTACACATCATTGGTGCAAATGAACAAGATGCCAGAACTGAACTGAACATCCCATCACTACACTACAGGTGGCCCGTTTCTCTGATCTACAAAATGCACATGTCCACATGCCCACCAGACCTGAAAAAGCTGCTTCCCCAACCATACACAATCAGATACACAACCCACAGCAGTTTCTTCACTGGAAAACATGCCCTCTAGAACTCACTCCACAGGCAGAACTTTCATACTTTCCTCTAGTACACATCTGGAACAGTCTCACAGACAATGTGGTCAGCCTGATCCCTGACAACAACCTCCAGTCATTCAAAACAAGAGTACACCGGCATCTTCTTTCCAGCACCAGGACCTCTGCATGTAGCTAGAACTTTGCAGTTGCTGTAAACCAATGATTAGCCAGGAGTGTTACAACCCATCAGCACATGATAGAAAAAAAGGGAAAAAAAAGCTTCACACAATTCGGCCCTTGGCTGCAAGGAGAGAATAGCAGGCCCACCCAATAACAGTTCTTGTATTTTTTGCTATTATAATTTGTAGACTGTAGGCGTGGCCAGTCCCTGGTGGTAACTGCCATCTCAGAGGGCCGGCAGGCGGCCAGGCAGATTGACCTTGACCTGATGGGCTTCACGTCGTTGGCTGGACCAGGGGGTGTGGTCACCGCCACCAAAATCAAGGACACAATCTGCTGTTGAAGAAATCATTGGAAGGAATGTTACTTTGTTAGTACAAATTGTATAACAAAAGGGAATTGTTTTAGATACGAGTAATTTTTTTTTCCAATCTTAAGATTTCATTAAAATCTGTAGATGGACACAGGGCTCAAAATACTGGGTGCATGTGCACCCAATTTTTTTTTTGTGGGTACACTGATGCACCCAATATTTTCATATCTTTCATACATGTATGTATGATTGTAAAGATATTAAATTTATACCAATAATATACAGCATATTCTTGACATCCAAGTGTCAGAAATATTTGTTGTTTAAGATTATTTTAAATGGTGCACCCCAAAATTTTTTAGGTTGGGTGCACCAGTGCACCTATTCCAAAAAAAAAATGAATTTCCAACCCCAATACCTGTTTGTCCTTAGGCTTGATATTCTTCTTGTTGAGATTTCTCACTGTACAATACCAAGTTGCTGGAGTTGACCTAACCTGGTGGTTGGGGTGATTGGGATCCATCATGTATTAAAATGTGACTTCAAAATATTGAATGCATAAAGTAGAATCCTCAGTCTGGTCAATGTGATGTAAACTAAAAAAACTACTTCATAGACTTGTACTTCATCGACACTTGTACTATGATATTAACATTGCTCAAGGTTATCTGTACTACATGTACATGTAGAAAGAAGTAGATAATACTTTAGTGAGAGTAGACAGACAGTAGGTGTCAGTTGCTGCCGAAGGCTTCCAAGTTACGAGTATGTAGATGTAAATGGAAAAGCTGTATGTCAACTTTATGTACAATCACTGTACAATTATATACATGTAATAATGACATGCATATTATATACAGAGAATACAACACGGTGTATTCCGTATCACACGAGGTACCAGCCCAAATGTGGGTCGGATTCTTTGAGTAGAGCCAAAAATGTCTATAAAACGTCTAACGGACATTAGACATGATTTAGACATTGCTGAACAAAGGCCAGTCGGGAGAACATTCAGTAGACATAGTTACTGAAAAACGACATCGAAATAACCCAAGGTGGACATTTTATATCCATAGTCTCTTCACACGTCAGGTAGGGACACCCCTTGGAGACAGTCCTTTGTTTAGCACAATGCGCACTTATAAAGATATTAGCATCTGTCTATTAATTAATGGTGTCCTACCCTATAAATTGTCTTGGCTTTGTGCAGTGCTTTTCATATGCATGCCAGTTTTCACACTTTTGTTCTGAAGACATTCTGACAGACACCTCATGTACAATGGAAAACACAACAAGCAAGTCCTCCCCAAAAAGACCCTGTAAAGACCTGGGAAAAGCATTCTTACAAATGTTTAAAAAATGTGCAGACGTTTTATAGACATTTCTGGCTCTACCAGTGAAATTCGACGGGAGATACACCCCCAACAGTAGGAATGGCAGGGTCCATGTTGTATTTTATGTGTCATACCAGCCCAAGATAACCCACATTTCAATCTGAAATGTGCCTGAATTTGGGGAATTTTGTGTCCCTAAACAAAAAAGGTAACAACTTGAAAAGTAATTCTAAATTAAATGTCCAAATCCAATTTTGGAATTTTGCAGAACACACAAAATGTTCAAATTACTCTATATAATGGAACTTAAAAAGGCCTGTGTGATACTGTTAGAACCCTGTGTGATAATTAAAATAACTGTGTGTTAGTTTTCGCAGGGGCCCAAAACACCTGTACCAAGGCCACACCAATGCGATTTGTTGGTTCTCGGATTTGTTCAGAAAAAAAATGAAGTGACAGGGTGAGATAAAAACCAGACCTATAGGCATCCTATAATAGTCCAAAATGCTCCATGAATGATAGGAGCTATGAAGTCAACATACCAGGCTGGTTGTAATTCAAACAATGAATTTCAAACTTTTAATCAAACCACTGCATTGATAGATGGAAAAACTGTACAGTAACAACTCCGAAGAGACTTCCTTCTACTGTGAGCATTTTGGAGTTGATTCAGAAGCTGATATGTTTTTTTTTTTGGCAAATCAGAAGAAATGGAAGTGGGTGATACATGAACCAACAAATAAAAAATGGTGTGGCCTTATCATATACTACATGTAGTATTATGCAGCACTGACCACGGTCATTACAACTACATTAATCCAAACAATGTATTCTTCACTCAACATTTGTGGTACATGTACATGTATAATTATGTGTTATCTGTATAGTACTGCAGGCAATGTCAACATGGCTTTAAGCGTACTAAATCTACTAAAAGTCATAATGTTTGAAATAACAGTTTACAGATGAGCTGAAAAAATCAAGCTGTAATTCTAGATTGTTAGGAAGCAGTGCATTTGAATCTGAATAATGTTGATGTGTGCAGTGTGCATCATGCATTGGTATCCTGTCTGTGGTGGTACATGTAGGTTATTAAGAATATGGAGGGTTCACTACAGCTTGGTGCGGATAATGGTGGTAAACGTAGGAAGTTTGTCATTAAGAAAATAAACTGGTGTGACTAAGCAGACTTGAGTTTCTTGCTTTTAAAAATTTAGATAAGCTTAATTCACCCTGTTCAACCATGTTGGACATCATCACATCCAATATAATGCTATGTATTACTAGTATTACTAAGTCTTTGAACCGTCAGAATCAGTTATTTGGTTATCCTTTGATTTTTTCAAAACTTTGCTTTGAAAAACATTTTGTAAAATCAAATCGATTTTTAAAGAACATAATATGCACTGCTACAAAAAATGGGTGAGGGATCAGTGGGGAGTAAACTGAATGAAATCAAGGACATTATCATGAGTGTCCATGTAGGCATGAACTCTTGGTATTGAAAGGCAATATTTGCGAGAAAATTAAGTTCACTCGCAACATTAACGTCAACCTTTTCCAAAAATTAACCAACTCAAAAGTTGCTAGAGCGCATACTAAACTTAGATCAACATCACGTCACGTTTACTGGAGTTTTCCAAATTTACCCCCTCCAATGCAAGAATGGAGTCTTAAGTTATTCCGGCCTTATGATCAGGCCTGATGACACGATGTACACCTCGAGCAGGTCATTAACCCTCAAATACACTTTGGTGATGATGATGACTTTTTTAGTATACACTATATCTAACCTGGACTGTCGCACCAGACAACTTGGACTGCTTGATATCAACAGAGCTTCAATTAAGACACTAGTCTACTGCACAATTTACAAACGTACATTACCACCAATCTCAACTCAATCCAGGGCGTTTCAATTTCCACCAGTCTAGCCAGTACTAAATTGGGAGAGGGATACATTTTCAATTAATCAGAGAAGTTCATGATAACTTTACATACTATACTTCAGGTGGGCATAAAAGATGATATTTATGTTTACCGTCACAGAAGGAAATGTTATCTTTCTAGTCAAATTTAAATTGCCCCTTTGGTAATTTTTGTCTAAGCCTCTAAAGACTCTAAAATCATCAAATTATACATGACGGAAGATTGGAACATTGATCAGAGAAGTTCATAAAAACTTAACAGACTAATTCATTGCTTCTGGTGGGAATAAAAGATATGAATATCAAATTGAATTTACTGTCCAGTTTAATTGAATTTAATGTCCCTTTGGTGATGTTTTTCCAGGCCTCTCAAGAAAAAATTATAATGTGAAGTCTCTCTGACCTTTGTTCTTTCCTGGAGAGCCCTGATTGTTACTGTACAATGTATCTGAGGGAATCCAAGGTTTATTGACTGAAATCAAAATTATCTCATAAAAAATCAATTTGCATATTGATCCTTATGTGTAATGTGTTTTCAGGGTGCTCTAATGGCTGACAGGAATACATTTCCCACTATTGTCCCAATACATTTCCCAAGCTGTAACAATGTTAAATTAAAACAAAACAAGTTGTCATAGGCGACAATTCTCCGTGAAGTTTTATATTTTGCAGATTGGGAACAGTATAGCGTATGTAAACAGTGTGTGAGCACTTCACAACTGGTAACAACGTATAGTTAAAATGGCTAAATCCCTAGCCAAATTAAGATCCCGCTCGTGGTGGCCGCCCCCTTGGTGTTATAAAACCCCGAGCGTTTGTACAAATACAGGCTACATGTACATAAAATTAACAACACAACAAATTACTAACAAAGTCACCTTCCACAACATCTTTCATTTACTGCATATAACGCAAGTTCATGTATACAATTCAGCGCCCTTGTACGTGAGATTTTTTTTACGATGAATCAATAAACAGATGTTAAAAATATCATTTATTTTTAAGACGTCGTAGTAGGTGCAAACTATAGTCTAGTAAGTCACAATATCCCAAAAGGTACTTGCCAACAAGTACTAGTACACAAAACCCACCCGATATCTACTTACTGTACAATACAGCACCTCGTCTATATGGCCTGTTCCACACGACTATAGAAATGTTTCTAAAATATGCATTTACTTCATTATAAAAACTGCTCCGGAGAAAAGAAAAACATGTGCATCATCACGGACATAATGGCACACCATATACGCAATTACATATTTTTTGACTGCAAACACATTTGAAATTTACCACCATACATAAACAACGTGAGACACGCATCTGTTTCTTATTACCAGCCCACCAAACGTCTGCTATATGGGATACGGCCAGACTCACTATTCAAAACCATAGGCCATACCAATTTGCCTCATAAATGCAGGGTGCATTTGAAATACATGTATTACATTGACCGCGAAAGCAGCTACGGTAAAAATAGATACACGTGCATCATGAAGGGCGTGACTGGACACGAGATGACGTATAAAATTACATGCCATTTAAACAAAGGCAACCCTATAATCTAGCTGTGAACAGAAAAATCGCCTCCACCACAAAACTCCTGAAGGAGGTATGCCTCCTTAATGGAGTTGACAGATGTACAGTTGTACATTTTTGAACTGCTAATATTGATAGCATGACAGGACCAGTGTATTGTTTATGTGTCCACCTTCTTGTGAGCCTCTCTCTCAGCTTTCTTTCTCTCATATCTTCCTTTCCCCTCTTCAAATCTCAACTTCTCTTCTTCTGTGGTGATCTATGGAGAGATAGACAGCATGCCTTTCAAATTACTGAGACATCAAAACTGACAATCCACCCCTTCAACAAAGGTATGAGGACCATAACTATATATATAGCTGTACCTTCACAGCAATGAAGTGTGTAGTACATTGTGTATGAGTGTGTGTGTATGTATCTGTATTGTGTGTAAGCGTGTGCATGTGTGTGTGTGTGTGTGTGCATGCATGTGTTATATATAATGTTTGTGAATGTGTGTGTGTACCTGCATGTGTGTGTGTGTGCACATGTGTGTGTGTTTTTCTGATATTTGTGCTTAGCATAACATGGAGTTTGTGATGGATTGTGATGATATTTGGTATGTCGACTGTGGGATGATCGCGCTGCGCGTTACGCTATGTAAACAAACGTGGAGACTGGCCGGGTTGCCTCCGCCGATTCATTATTTAGTGATTTCTTGTTCACTGGGCTACATAAGTTATCTTATGCCAAAATACAGCGACTTGGGATCTTATCTCATCAATGCAGGGTGTATTCCGGTAGATTTAAGCCTCCTATATGTGTTTTCCGGTAAATAGGTAGACCGGGACTAGACACAAATTACCCAATCATCTTTCATGATTAACTCGAGTTTGGTGACCTCATACCTCCATGAAATGTTTAATGTAAGGCTGGCGAAGACAAACTAGGTACAGTAGTTGACTTGTCTGGACATTCGTGGGCAGCGAACGTTCTTTCGTTTAACAAATATTTCAGCAGAGTTTGCCGGGTTCTGTGTTTGCTTGTGAGGGGTGGCTGCACTGTGTGAGGCAGAGACACCCCTGCAGGTTGGTGCATGCTGCCGCTCACATAACCATACCACCATTTTTGGTAGCTAAATCATGGGTGATGGGTTTAATTCAACGTGGAAATCGCCAATATCTGGCATCATTTTTCATCGGAAAATCCTCCCCCCCCCAAAAAAAGAGGTTCAAGAAATTGAAATTCTACTGTTCTGGTAGATAGAGGAATATCCTTCATTTCTATACAGTGTTTTTGCTTCAGATTCATTTCCTGAAAGAGACAGTTGCTAGATTTGAAGGTGTGTAGAATCAAGGTATAATGTCCTTGGTACGTTGATGAAGGTTAGACATCCAGGTAAACGATACTCGTAAGAAAATTCAAACTCTACTACTGGATCAGTTATGGATTTTTATTTCCGGACGTTTCGAGTGACATCCATCACTCTTCTTCAGCGTCACAATGAACAGAGAACCGATTCACTCTTATATACAAGTAACTAGAAAAACCGGTTAAACAACAAGGTCCGTAAGAAGCTTTATCATGTAAAAGAACGGTTCACTCAATATACGGGTAATTAGAACTAAAAAAACCTGTTCAACAACCGTAAGAGTCTTCGTCATGTAAGGTAGGTTCCTATGGTAGGAAATTACCATAGGAAAAGTTACTGTCCCTTGGGCTGTGGCAGGGCGGGGTCCCATGTGCTTGAGAGTTCAATGCGCAGTCCCCCCTTCCTGTTCAGGGTGGGGTTGTAGATGCGCTCATAGATGGCCTCCTTCACTCCGCGCTCGTACCATCGTGGTTCACGGTCGAGGATGTCTGTTGCCTCTAGCTTGAAAGAGTGTCCCTGGTTGTGTTTGGTGTGATGGTAGATGGCAGAAGAGTAGCCACTTGCTGTAGCCCTGGTGTTGTTTGTATCTCTCCTTCAGAGGTTGGCTGGTTTCCCCGATGTAGGTGTCATTGCAGTTCGGTTCGCATTTGAGTCTGTAGATTACCTCTGACTTGATGCCTTTCTGTACGCGGTCTTTGGGGTGAACCAGGTTCTGTCTTAGGGTAGAATAGGGTTTGAAGTTGGTGCCGATGTTGAAGCCCTGGAGGATGCGTCGCAGTTTCTCTGATACTCCTTCAATGTAAGGGATGGTGATGTTGGTAGTGTTCTTCTTGTCGAGTGGTTTGCTTCTTAGTTTCTTAGACTTGTCGGTAGGTTGTAGGGCTTTGTTGAAAGTCCAGGTTCGGTACCCACACTTGTTTAGGGTGTTCTTCAGGTGGCTGTGTTCCTTGGACTTGGCTTCATCTGAAGTTCTAATTACCTGTATATTGAGTGAACCGTTCTTTTACATGATAAAGCTTCTTACGGACCTTGTTGTTTAACCGGTCTTTCTAGTTACTTGTATATAAGAGTGAATCGGTTCTCTGTTCATTGTGACGCTGAAGAAGAGTGATGGATGTCACTTGAAACGTCCGGAAATAAAAATCCGTAACTGATCCAGTAGTAGAGTTTGAATTTTCTTACGAATGTCCTTGGTAGAATCAAACTGAAACCCAAAATAAACTGTGGTGTGGCATGGTATACTCCTTGATTAGTGCCTGTTCTATGTTTGGATATACAACATGTGTAAGGTCATTGACCTTACTAAATGAAATAATCATTAATTAAAAGTACTCTGCAATGTCTCTGGGTTTAATCCATATCTGTTCATCATCATCAGTTTCTATGAAGTAAGGTGTACATGTATTACATGTCTTTCTAGCCAACATGCCATTTATTACATGTACAATGTAGATTCCAAAGCTGTTTATATTAGTGTCTCTGTCTTTACTGTGTGTTTGTAACTGCTCTTAAATTCAACAGGCCTTCTTTGTCTTCCTTTTCTCTTACGCCGTCATTCCTGAGGCATTTATAATTCCTGAAATCTGAAGACATGCCGAAAGTTTTCACATTTAGCCTGGTGTTGCAGATCCATAAAATTATAAGAAGTCACACCGTTAGATCCTCATCTACCCACTGGGCTGGTGATGACCTAACGGTTGTCTTGTGGACTAGAGCATGACAGTTGGCTACATCATTGAAGAGGACCATGAAGCTGTTAAGAGCTTCTTCTACATCATTGTAATTTAGCAAATTTTTAGCACACTGTACCAGGAGGATTGTGCTATGTCTTGGAAGACATTTTCTTGGCTAAATCTCCTATATAAATGTTTAAATGTGATTGAGTCCTGTATTTTGCAATATGGGTAGTTTTGTGTGTCGTGTGTATGAGGATGGGGTCTGTACATCAGGAATTTATCAGGTCTGTTTGTAAATATTAACTACATTGTGTACAGACCTGATAAATCCGATACCAGCTATGAATGGGCAGTAGCCTCAAATCAAAGAGGCGCCACACATACACTGTAGCCTGTTTCTTGGCTATTTCAAACGCTTGAAGTATGACCTGATGAGGAAAGTGAAGTATATGTCAATATCAGTCACAGATAATTTTCTTCATCCAGAATACTTTGGGGTTTTGCCTCGGATTTGCATTTTAAAGTGAACATGTATGTGGGTATGTAAATGTAGAGGTTCTTTGCCATAATTCTGCCAAAAATTTTTTTTACTTAGTGGTCGCCACGTAACACGGTCGTTTGGCCACTTCAAGGTTGGTTAACCACCTGAATGGTATCACCTGAATGGCATTACCACCAGTCCTGAATGGTATTACCACTCACCTGGGTTATGGGTTACCGAGTAGAACTGTAACAGCAACTCTTCTCCCTGAGTCAGAAACATCAGGATTGAGACCAGCCCAATTTCTCACAAGTAGTGAGGACTAACTGACCCAATAGTAGAAGCAGGGGTTACGAGGCTGGTCGGGAAAATTCCCTACCCCATTTTTAGACCATAATGGTTTGTTCCACTTCCACTCACGTGGGTTCTTTAACGTGCTTGAGGTGTGTCTCTCCTCAAACATGGGACCTCCATTTTAACGTCCCATCCGATAAGACGCCCCTAACCGAAGCTAGGTACTCATTTTCACCTGAGTGAAGTGAGGAAAGTTGTGTAAAGTGCCTTTCCCAAGGGTACAACGTCGGGGCGCATGTTCGGACTTGTTCGGGTACGACACGGAATCGAACCCGGGTCTCTCTGTTTCATAGTCCAGTGATGTACCACTACACCACACGACGCCACTTTCATACAATAAAATTTAACTTGAGTAGGGAAGACCGTCTATTTGAATAGATGATGAAAATTACAGCCTTAAGCCTCGGTCACAACCCGCCGTATGTGCTTTTTGTCCGTACGTTTTATTGGGAAGCCATGTCTGCTATGTTTTTTTGAAAATGTGGGGAAGGAGTGGCGTCGATGCACGTCACTCGCACGGTTGCACAAGGTGTAAGAGTGTGGTCTGCTCCCCCAGGAAATGTTAGATTTTCAAGCCCTCAAAAATGCAATTTCATGCATTTTGAGAAGCAAATCATGGGGTTGAGAGTGGTTGTTGACAGCACTCTAGATGTTTTCTATATACATGTAACGTTACATTGTGTACAATGTATTTACCAAAGATTTTTGTTGATTTTTGACAGATTGGTTTCAAAATTTTCCGTTACACGCCGCAAAGTTCCTTCACAGAAAAACAGGTGGTGGCTAGAGCTCTCTGTACATCATCATCACAGTAGCATTACCATGTGCAGGGAAAATGAATGGGATCATTCTAATTGCTGAGAATATAATTTTTCACGCAGAACAATTAACAAAACACAGACATCACCTTATGAGGAGGGATTGGGATGGGTTTCCCATCAGCCCCTAGTGACACAAATGTAAAGAACGATGTCGCTGCCCGCTCCTTTGTCATCCCTCCACTTGTCATCTTCTCCAGGTCCACCGCAACCTCAACTTCCATTGTTCTGGACAGATATGAGGAGAAATTGTTCATTACCAGTAGAGTTGTGTACAGGTACTGTTTAGCAAAAATTGATCGGGTACAGGTTTAAAATACCTGATCACTAAGTACCCATACTGTACTGGTATTACACTAAATTGTATGCTTATTTGTGGCCTAGCTGAGCAATATAGGTGGAACAGGACCTTTTTTTCGGTCCCCCAGCAGGGGTCCCAGAGACAGGTCAGTGTGTTTGTGTTACAGACTGAAAGTGGCAGTTATGGATGACATCCGTACATGCATAGATTTTCATGTTCTAAAAAAAAAATCAGGTTGCCATCCCCAACAGTCCGTAGTCCATGGTAGCTAGCAACAATAGGGAGCAGACAGTTAACTAAGAGACAGCTCCACAGAACTCCAAAGCTCAGTTTGGTGCAATGATGCACAATATATAAATTTAAGCTGATTCCAAAGGGATTTGAAACTTTTTTGCTGTTTCAGACCTTAAGATAAAAGCCCTAACCAAGATGCTATGGTTCATACAGAACAAATCTTGGTGGAAATTCACAACTTCATTGTAACAAACAACTCTACAGGCCCCTCCCATCAATCTCTGCAGAAGTCAAGCGCAGTAGGCTACGCCTAGCCGGCCATGTTACTTGACATGATGAACCAGGTGGTAAACTGCTCCTCTGGTCTCCAGAAGCCAAGCTTCTATACTGCCGGGTAGTAAAAATAACTAGTAAATGTATTCTTGACAAATTCAAGTGATTTTCAAACAAAAATTTCAGGTTGTATATAGAAAATCGTATCACAGGGCCACATTTTTCTGCCTAAGAATTTGGTACTGCAATCATTTCCAGACAAACCTGACATTGATTTTTTATGTGTAGAAAACCCATCCTGGCTGTGAAATGCATTCTCGTTCTTTGTGTCTAACCTGCTGCTTGTGAAGCTAATTCTGCCCATTAGGTGCATCAGGCTGCCTTTAGGGACAGGGCGGTGGAAGTTGGTGGCCTCTATGGATGCGGTCACCACACGGTTCTTGGAATGCCTTGCCGCTGTGATCCCTGCCACTTCGTCCATCAGCTTCAGTGTGACCCCTCCTGTGGCAAACCCGTGGATGGCTGTGTCTGATGGGTTCACAAGATGGATGAGAGAGGACTGGGAGTAACGTACAGTGTGGGGCTCAGCCTCCAAGTCCATTGGTCGAGGCTCAATGACATTATTCACCACATGATTGTTCTCTTCCCTATGTGCCTTTTGGTAGTCATACCTCTTCCGTCCTGCCTCCTCTGCTTGCTGTGATGAGTAGACCATAGGTGGGACCTCGGCCACTTTTTGGGCCACAGTAGAGATGGGAACATACCAGAGAGACGCCTTGTTAGTCAGTCGTTTGCTTCCTTTAAGGACATTCTCGGCCCAAACCCGGACCTGGACTTCCAAGGAATGAGGTCCAGTGAAGGTAACATCTGCCTGAAGCTGGGCAACTTCACCTTGGAGAGAAAACAGCACAGAACTTGAGTAATTGTGTGCCATAGGGACATGCAGTACCAGACTGAGTACTGTCACAGTACTGGTTTGTGATTGAAAATAACTGATCAGTTGCTGACAGTCTGATTTCAGTCACAATGCAGTAAAGCAATATTTAACTAATTTTAAGTTAAAAGGCAGTCTCAAGAGCAGAGGCCAGACAGGGAAGCCAATTCCAAAGCTTAACACTTAAAGAACTGCCCCATGTTATGAAATAATTTTCTAGTGAATGAATGAATGAATGAATGAATGAATGAATGAATGAATGAATGAATGAATGAATGAATGAATGAATGAATGAATGAATGAATGAATGAATGAATGAATGAATGAATGAATCATTTAAAGGCATGTAATGCAATCTCAGGGCATCAAAACTGGATTTCCAATCTTCTGGTAATTGTTTAATATAGTATTAGTAAGTCAAATCAATCTTGTCCAAAAGAATACTGATATCTGAAAGGCAAAAATGCGATATTGCTGATGGAAAACCGTTGCTTGTCTTCATCATACATGTAGGGTGGTTCTAGCTATTTATGGGTGCCATTGGGCTGTACAAAAAAATTAAGAGACTCCTCATGTAACTAAATCGTCCATGGGCTATTTCAAATGCTGCAAGTAGGAAATGATGAAAAAAATATGCTAAGTAATGGCAGTAATATCAATATCAGGCAGATTTCGTCATCCAGAATATTTTGTTGTTTTGCCACTCTGAAATTGCACTGGATGCCTTTTAGTGAAAAAATGGTGGATCTCAACTAGGCAACATATATGTATAACTATATATAAGTATGTTTTGTACATACCTACATGCATTGGTTGAAGGAAGTCCATCTGCTCTATTCTAACCAGGCTTGGAGCACTCAGATCCCGCCCCTCCTCCCCTGCGTAGAGATTACAGTGGCGTGCACTCACAATGATCCCTGCCTCCTCTATCATCTTCAGAATATTCCCACCATGTACGTTTCCCGAAACATTGGCATCGTCAGGACGCATGATGCGACTCACTATGGCTGGGTCCGTGCTACAAGCAGCCATCTTGCTCCTGTTGGTTCTATCGCTGGTGTAAACCAGATGGTGCGGCGTAGTGTTTGGTCCGAGGAGCTTCTCATAAACAAATCTGTAAACATTGAATATGTTACTGGTCAGTGGTCAACCTACATGTAAGAAAGTCAGAAAAAGAAAACATCCTTGGCCTAATTACAATGTACTTAGTACATGTTCTTCCCTACCAGTAGCAATGGAGTAAATTATAATGGATGATGAGAAAAGGTCTTATCTAGCACATATTCTATGCCTATGTTTCCGTGACTCTACCAAATTTAGATCATCTCCTCTTATCCGTATTTTAACCTNAATGAATGAATGAATGAATGAATGAATGAATGAATGAATGAATGAATGAATGAATGAATGAATGAATGAATGAATGAATGAATGAAAAAATTTGTGACGTCACGGACCAAGATGGCGGCGCCCTTCTTTGCTGCGTAGCTACCTCGTAAATTTTGTCAGTTTCAAAGGATACTGATAGTTTTATCGGGGTCGCAGAGATAGAAGGAAGCTGCCACTGACTGAGGGAAAACCAGAGTCTTCCAGAAACTCGGCGGGACGAGCGAGCTGGGCGGAAAAAGCGGGCGGAGTGCGGGACGCATACCACCCCCCTCCCCACCGGCGAGGCGCTGTACCATCAGTGGGCCCTTTTACGGGCCCCTGCCGGTGGGTAGCAAGTACATTGTGTTCACAGAGTGTTCACAGAGTGTTCACATAGTTTCGGAGAATAAGAGAGCTCATTTGTTTATGTGAGATACTGCCGAGCATCTTATTAAATTACAGGGTTGGCGGGACTACGAAGGGACTGAAGGGTTACAACGCCAGCAAGCAGTGACGCCCAGCGCACGAGCACCAGAGACGCCTGACGCCTGAGCTGCGGCGGAGCCGGCCAGAGAACCGGGAGGGACTCAGGGGTGGTCAAGCTGAGAGGAAGGAAGGGAAACACAGGCGCAAGAGGAGCGATCACCAGAACGAGAGAAGGGCCCCCCTCCCCCTTTACGAAGAAGCGAGTCGCCAAGACAGACTCAAGAAGGACCCCAGTGACAGTAACAAGCCCTGGGAATCAAAGGCCTACCTCTGGAAGTAAGAAGGAAGGAAAACGAACCGGAGCAGAGACGTCATAGTAGATCCAATTCTACAGAAGTGAGAGAGGATCACGGCCGCAGGGAAGTACCGAGACAGGAGCGAGCGGTTTGTCAACAGAAAACCTGGTGAGTCCTACATAACTACTACCAAGCATGGAGTACATAGAGGAAGAGTTTACGGGCCATGACAGCTCAGGAACATGGCTAACGGGGCTAGACGACATATTCCAAGATGATGATGAGACACCTGGACAGTTACATAATCTCATTAAGTCTCACATTGAAGGATTAGACAGGGTTACGGCCAAGAAGAAGCTGCTTGCAGCAAGCATGAATAGTGAAGACATACTGAATCACACAAGAGAAGCTCTACTGATAGTAGCAAGACGGGAAAGGTCAGACTGCCCACCAGGGATATTGAGGAGAAGAACATACAGGGCGAATGCCGAACCAGTCATGAGCAGGTTAGCAGAAGACTGCTGTGCACTGTTTCAGTTTATTGAAGGCGAGAAGAACGTGACAGAAATCAAAAAGATGTTCTCAGGCCAGCAAATATCCGGGTTTCAAAGCCCAGCAGTCACCAGGAGAAGAGGGCTGAGCATGGCACATGATGGAGTAGAACAAGATCAAGATCATGACGAAGTGGCAAGAATTTTGACTGCAAACGCAATACTTAGAGAAAGATTGAATGAGGATGACAGAATGATAAAAGAGAGACTGAAGGGAGTGGAAAACAGATTGAGGAACCAAGAGAACACCATGTCAGACCTAAACAGCCAACATGACAGTCAAACACAGGGTCTATTAGAGGTGCTGAAGGAGGAGATGAAGGAGTCGAAAGAGAAGATTGAGAGCTTAAGCAACAAGTTAAGACGCTACGAAGTAGACAGAGAGGACATTATAGAGCACTGTGACAAGCACCTGAGTGGGATACATGAGGAAATAGCAGCCACGAAAGGATCACATTTAGTGATGACAGAAGAAATAGAAGGTATGAAAGGGAAGTGGAAGAAGGTTGAAACGGG